AGAGGTAGGATTTACAACACATAGGAAAATCACATCAGATGACAAAATGGTAGACAATCACACAATACTGAGAATCACGGCCTAGCCAAGTTGACACATATTTTGGGGGGAAACAATTCAATCTATAACACTAGTACACAGAGACTAACACATAATTGTTTTCAAAGGTCACTTTCCCATCAGCTGAAAAAAATAATCAAAAGCCACCTAGGATCTGGTGGTGAAGTACTGGGGCCAGGCCAGGGAGATCAAGAGAAGGATGGGGCTGAGGAAATCAGGACTGGGATGAGGGGAGGAAGGGAGGTGGGAAGCAGGAGGCCGGAGGATGGTGAAGACCACCAGTGGGCAGTTAGACTCCTGCCTCTCATCATCCACAACGAGCGTGAGCTCCCTGAGTACAGGCACAGACCTTTGTCTGTAACCCCAGTCCCTGGCACAGAGTACTGTACACCAAATAGACACAGAAGAAATGTGTGCTGGATCAATGGGTGAGCCATCCCCATCTCCTCTTTCTTTCCAGCAAGAATGCAACCCTAGAGGTGGGCTGACGGGGATTCTGGCAGAGCAGATCAGGTGGGGAGGAGGAGGTGAACTGCTGAAATGCCATAAAGCTGTAGAATGGGATGGACGATGTGGGCACAGAGAGGGAAAAAGCCTACAAAGCAACTCATGGATTGCTGAGATGCACGCACTGTGTAGAGGCTGCAAGGAAGGAGAAGAAAGGGGGGTTGTGATAAGATTTTGTTTCCCTTCCCACCAGCTCTCAGCCAAAGTGATTAGTGAGGCCCAAGGCTGGTGGTGAGGAATTGGGGTGAGAGTTGTGGCCGAGTGGCCAAAAGAAAGGAAAAATTTCCCACAGTAGTAGAAGAAAAGAAGTAATTTCTGAAACTCATTTATGTTTAAGGTCTGAGTAAGTTGGGGGCTATGCCCACAGAAAGGTTTTTTGAACAAAACTCCCATGCACAAAGCAACTACTACTGAATGCAAGACAACAATTAGGCCTAGAATACAAAAGACTTGGGACATAACAGCTTTTTAGCTCAAGGTAATTAAAAACCCACAATGTAAATCAGTACTGAGGCTGTAGAAGCTCCAACCTGAGAAATCCTCAAGGCACAATGATTTGTTCTGGGGCCTCAGTAATGGTCAGAAAGCTGATGACTAGACTATTGCTAGTTCTGTAAATTACTGTCTTTCGAGAGATGCATGGAAAAGGTAAGATTATAGATCTTGAATTGAAAGACAACAGAACTATTGCCTATTATTATGAAAGCAATAAAATATATTTCTATATCACTAAGTTATCCTTTCCTCTTATGGATGCTCATACATCATTTTTTTTTTTTTTT